CCTCAATGTTTCGGCCGAAGTTTTGAGCTCGTTCATCTCCCGTAGTTGGTCAATCAAGTTTATCTTCTCCTGGACTTGAGAGGTTGTATCGTTAGTCACTACGCGTAACCTATCATTTTTAATATCAAATATCCTTACCTTCTCGACCAGTTCGGTATGCTCCCATTTCACGGACGAAGCCCCCCTTTGAGCCTTTTCCAGCTTAGCTCGAAGAATGGGGAGATCCTTGAGGTCCTCGTCCTTTTGCTAGCTGAAAACCTTATACATGTCTTTCTGTCGGACTTGCTCCTTGAGCTCGAACTCAAGCTGGCTGACTTCCATCTGAGATCGATGGAAGCTTTCATGGTGGACCACCGAATCCTGAAAAACAAATCAATAAGATCATGAAGATACGCTGAAGTAAAATGATCTGCAAGAAGGACACAAGGAAAGGGAAACTTACCCGGTTCATTGCATGTTGTTCCTCGTTGAAGAGGCTCGGTGTTCACACCTCGTTCATCTTCGCCTAGTCCTCTTCGTTCACCAGGCAGCGAAGATAACTGGCCATACCAACCGGTTCGTACAACACTCGAGTGTCAATCGGGATGTAAATACTACCCTTCTTTTACGGCCGAGTTCCATGCTCGGAGCAGGGAACTGCTTCACTAGCTTCGGGCTCGAACTCGGCTTGACTGCTCCCGATGACACGTCTTTTTTCGGGATCTCCAAGTGACCAAACCTAGAGTAATCCTCCAACGCGCCCATGTCCACACCGTCAAAGAACAGGTTGAGGGCCTCATCTGCGGCCCGTGCCATCTCGTTTGGCTTATCCTTAACGGCTCGAGCCTCATCGAATAAAGACTCTATATAGGTATATAGGACGACAATTCCGTAATGTCAATGACGTCGACAGCTTCCCTCGGAACTGGGATAGCTTCTTGGGAAACCGTTGCCTCTAATTTTTCTTCTAGCTCCCGAGCTAAAGAGGGGTTAGCCTATCGGTCACTCCCCCCAGCCCCCACCCCTCTCTTCTTCATCAATGGCTAGTCCATGGGCGAAGAAATCTAGGTCGTCATCTTCAGGGTAATCCATGAGCTGGTAGAGGGAGTCAGAGTCTGGTACCCTAGCCCAGGTACTTTTCTTATTGCTCTTCTTGGCGCGGACCGCTACCCTCTTCTTTTTGGCTTCGGCGTCCGGGGAACTCGAATACTTACTCTTTCTTCTCTTCTTCTCCTCTTTCTTCGAAGTAGCCTCAAGTTGTCTCAAAGTGGAAGGTTTATCGGGTGATGTTGAAGCCTCGTCCTCGTCCAATGCCCGGAGCTCGGTGGTCTTGGGCAAACCTATGAAAGAAAGAGAGGGATTTAGAGTAAAATAGTTGAATATTTATGAAAGTTTGGTCGGGAAGAGCACTCACCATGGGAAGGGCCTCCCACTTGCCCTTCGAAAGCTTGCACCATTCGCGCTCAAAATACGATATCTGCGTGCAGATCTCCTCGACCCACTCTTTGAAGCGGGGAACTGCGTTGGAGACTTAGGCAACCGCTGCTCGATGGTAAATCCAAGCAATGAAGAAGAAAAAGAACAAAAACAATCCAAAAGAAATTCTAAGTACTTAAAAAAAATGAATGACTTACGGGCTAGGTTCCACTTTTCAGGGAACGGTAGGAACTCGGAGGGAATAAGATCCTTGGTTTTTACCCAAACAAATCTTCCCTGCCGGCCTCGATCCTATTCTCGTCGATGCTCAAGAATGGAGCTTTCCTCACCCTACGAACGAGCTTAATTAATCCCTTTCGGAAGATCCGGGGACTGTAGAGACGAAGCAGATGGTCGAGGGTAAATCGGGGTGCTTCGGTGTTATTAACGAAGTGGAAGATGAGGATCACAATCCTCCAAAAGGACGGATGAATCTGCCCAAGGCAGACCTCGTACCTTCTATAGAAGTCGATGACTATGGGGTCTATGGGGGCAAGTGTGAAGGGATATATGTAAACACTTAGATACCCCTCCACATATGTTGTAATGTCCTCGTCAGGGCCGGGGACGACCGCCTCCTTGCCCTCCCATTTGCAGTCCTCCCGGACCGTAGAGAGCGTACCCTCGGTAATGGAGCATATGTACCTCCATAGCTCCTCGCCTCGATCCTGTTGATTGGAAGCGTTTTCGACTTTGAAGTCGTTTTCAATAGAGCAGCCTCCGGGGATGAAGTTCTTCAGGAGAGGTTCCGAGGCCACCTCAGCACCCGTGGCCGGATTGAAAGTTGAAGGGACGGTCTGTTGAGGCATAGATTTCGAAGTCTTTGCCACCAAATTGTGGGAAATATGAAGATTTGAAGGTGAGGATGAAGGTTTGAAGGTCAAACTTGAAGGTTTGAAGATGTAGTATGAAGATTTGAAGATGGGAAGATGAAAATATGAAGATATATGTAACAATGTATGAAGATTTGGAGGGGTTAAAAATAAGCGAAATGTTCGGGGGGTAAATTAAGGAGTTCTGGAATTGGAAAGTAAAAAGGTGAAAAATGGACCGAAGCTTTTATAGAGATGGAGTAATCAATGCATGGCGTTTCACATCCGAGGACGGTCAACCGGCGGCTGACACGTGTCCGAAATCAGAGCGACGCGACTGATAGGACGTTTCACTGACCCGTCAACTCGGTTATATCGTACGGAAGAAGGAACGGGGGTAAATTAGTCGTTTACCATCGCTCCGCTAAATTTGCACTCCAAAAAACGAGGGGACTATCTGTGTACGAGTAAAATTGGGGACAAAGTTTTCCCTAATTCCCCGATAAGGAGACGAGGGGGAAGCACGGTTCGACGCCACTACAAGCAAGGCCGAAGGATCCCTCGTATTGAAACTTGGGAGAAGTGAACGATGTATCTAGAATCGGGCATGGAAAAATAATAGACCCGGACAGAGTGAAATTTCGAGGTCACGGGAAAAGGAGGAACGGTTGGTCGTGATAAGTTGGGAGACATAATATTTGTCCTCAATCGAATATTACGGTGCGGATCTCGTCCGATATCAATTGCAGATCGGCATTTACCGGGAAAAGAAGATTTTTACCTTATTTAGACTTGTATTAGGACAAAACTTGCCCTACTTTATAAAAGGGGGAATTCTTTTATGTTGACACGCATTTCAAAGCAATAAAAGTTCATTTTTGTCTTCTAGGTACTATTCAAAGTATTCTTAAGTTATTCTCTTCTTTAATCACAACAGAACTTGTATCGAGGATTCGATCGAGGCCAAATTTCAGTGCTCAACTTAAGAGCAGGCTTGGTCAGCACATTACAATTGGTTTGATCGTTTATTTTTTCTGTAATTTTATTTCTTGATGTTCTTAGATCATTCGTATTGAATTAAATCACGTATCTTTTAAACTGTGTATAAATTTAATTGTTATTTATTTTTATAGGTAAATAAATACACAAAGCTAATACATGCATTATTTTTTGTAATGCACGTTGCCAAACGACCTCTTAATGAGAAAACTGCTAGCTAAATTGAGACTGTTTTGAATATTCTATGGAATTTTTCAAAAGTATACATATGAAATCTTTCACAGTGGTAATTTTCCTAATAAATAAACCCAACTTGTCACTCACTATTTGTCATATATTTAATTTGATTACTCATACCTGCAATTTGAGTTGTCGCTTACAAGATAAACTTTGTTCACGTGCATTCATTGCGCCTTCGTCAGTACTCTCTAGCTCGTGTTATTTTACCAAATCACTTCATCACAAATTCTTATTAAATTACTAAATTTCCTGAACTAATCTCCTGTACAGAATCCACACGCTGAAAATGTGGACTATTTAACAAAATTAAAGAAATGGTCCTTATATTAACATATTTAGATTATGTGTAAAAAAGTAAATAATTTTGTTGTTATTATCATACTAAATACCAAATAATTTATACAATCTTAAAAGATTTTCTGTCCAGGTACAACGAATGTGAATATGCTGCAAGAATCTATCAAGCCCCTGATAAATGTACTGTACTTGTTAATCGTTTTTCATCATTTGATTTGATCTTTCCCTGTAAATTTAGTGAAAATATTATTACACTCTGTTTGGATCCTTGTTCCCCATCATTTTATAATATACAGTATTGTATTGTATCATATTGTATTGTATCGTTTATGAATACAATATTTGGATAGATTGTATTGTTTGTTATTATTAAATAATATTTTGTTGTTTGATTTGACTGTATCGTACTATATTATAACTGATAAGTTTACTAAAATATCCTCAATTATTTAAATATTAAATTTATCAAAATTATGCATAAAAATAATTTTAAAAAATAAAACAGAAGGAGGCAAAACACCTTAAAAAAGCAGAACAAAGGAGCGCGACAGAAGAAGGCAAAACACAACTAATTAGAATTGAGTTAAAAGCAAATTAGGAGAAAAAATAAGACAGAAGGCGGCAAAACACCTTTAACGTTGGCGGCAGAAATTTTGGAAAACTAATAAAGTAGGTTATAGGTTTGAGATTTGGAGTTAAAATAGAAAAAAAAGTAAAGGTTAAAATAGAATTGTAGAGTAATAAGTTAGGGCATAATTGGAAAGAAAAATAGGAAACAATCCCACCACATCAAATCGGTTGTTTCATAAAATAGGACTTTTCATTGTTCTGGAACAATGAATTTAACAATATAATACAACCAATTTTAATGAAATAATCAAAAAAAATATTGTTTTGGAATAACAATACAATACGATACAACGGGAACAACCATCCAAACAAGCTGTTAGTCCACGCTCTAATATATGTAGCATCGTGAGCACATAATCAATTAAACGTGCTTTTTTTAAATTGAAGAAAGATATATCATTAAGACCGATAGTGAAATGATCTTTATATTGACCGAAAGTATTATATATGATTTTTCTTATTTGAATTTAAGTTATATGAACGGATAGTGTAACGATTTTTATATAACGTAAGTATAATTTAAGTAGATAATTTATCGTTTATTGTAGATCAGTATAATCAATATTAGTAAAGAAAAGTAATCACAATTATTTATTAAGTAATCTGATTGCATAAAAGATAAAGTCTTACTTAATGTTTGTATGTGAGAGAGAGATCCAATGTAGAAATGGGAATCTGTTCACAAGCATAAATAAATACGGTCATTTTGCTTCTTCTAGTCTTGAGTCTTGAGAGCTTTTTGGCATTTCTTTCGTCCTTTTGGGAAAATACTTAAAACCAAGGAGAATTCATTGAAGAGGAAAAAAACGACTTATCAATTTCACAAGAGGAAGAATGGGGAGAGCTCCTTGTTGTGAGAAAATGGGGCTGAAAAAAGGGCCATGGACTCCTGAAGAAGATCAGATCCTCATCTCTTTCATTCAACAAAATGGCCATGGCAACTGGCGAGCCCTTCCTAAACAAGCTGGTAAATCTATTTTCCCTTTTTTGGTCCAAAAATGATATCGTCCATTTTTTTGGACGCCGATGAATCTAGGGTTTAAAGTCAGTGGATTTTGAATTAGTTTTGTCATATACATTTTAACCTTTTTCATAAATCCGTTTCTAAATCTATTTTGTTTTATTAAACTTTTCCTGAGATTTTTTACGAGTGAAACCTATTACTCATTTTGTTTGGTTATGTCAAATTTTTCATCACTTAGGACTATTGAGATGCGGGAAAAGTTGCAGACTGCGGTGGACGAATTATTTGCGACCAGATATAAAGAGGGGAAATTTCACAAAGGAAGAAGAAGATACAATTATCCAGTTACATGAAATGCTTGGCAATAGGTTAGTTTTTTATTTTATTTTGGATTAAATTTCTTATATCAATTTCTTCTATACCTTCAAATTAAAATCCTAATCTTTTTCTTCTCCTTTTTATTGCTAAAATTAATTAAACTCTGCACATGATAAATTACCCTTAAAGCTGAATATTTTTGTAAGATTATGGTCTTGATCACATTCACTAATGCCTTGTGTGCGGATAATCATTATGCCAAAGGGGGGAGGACTCAAAGAAAAAGACCCTTTCTTTTTTCTTTTTTTTTTCCTTTTTTCTAAAGGCAATAGTACCTTAGATTGCGGATTTTTTTTATAAAAAAAAAAACTTTTATCTTTACTTTCAGAGAGTACTTAGAAAATGGAAAAGAAAGATTTAGTATATCTAAGCCAAAGAACACTGAACACATATCTTATTTTTTAATTTCCATGTCGTTTTGTTTCTTTCAAGGAATAATACAAATAGAGGGGAAAAAAGATTCGCTTAGACAAGTTGGTAATTAGAATATTATTTAATCAAATCTCATTTGCTTCTATGCATCAACTGTTAAAAAATCAATGCACATTGCTAACATCTCCTTAGGATTTTGTGACACTATTATTAAAATTTAAGCACCACGTTATGTTTGTCCTCTTCTCTTAATCTACAAATACTTGTTGGATTTAACTTATACATACTGATATTTAAAGAACTTCTCTTCTAATAGTTAGTAACTTGCATTATCTTTAAACTAATATACTAATTTCATTTTTTTTACAGTCAGATACTTATCATTATCTTTTATATGACCTGATAATATAAAAAAATATTTTATATATCACTGTATAAAAATTAAACCTCTATTAATGTTCACCTTATTGCTAATAAAAATTTGCTCACATGTGCAGATGGTCAGCAATAGCAGCAAAATTACCGGGACGAACAGACAATGAAATAAAAAATGTTTGGCACACCCACTTGAAGAAGAAGCTCAAAGATTATAAGCCTCCTCAGAACCCCAAAAGACACTCCAAAAATCATGATTCCAAGGGTCCTACTACTTCTGAGTCATCCAATAATTCTCATCTTACTTTTATTTACACACAAAAACACATTATTGATAGCTCAGTGCCAGCTCCTAACTCACCCCAAATTTCATCTAGTACTGAAATGTCAACTGTGACACTAGTCGATGATCATCAAATGGTGATTAAGCAAGAAGAAATGGAGTCGTCGGAGTATTTTCCAGAGATCGATGAGAGTTTTTGGACGGACAAATTATCAACGGACAATAACTGGAGTAATACTCATGATCATGTTATGGTTACTGCTGATCAAGAATTACAAGTTCAATTACCATTTTCCAGTTTGAAGGAAGAAAATGTGGACATGTTGACTACAAAAATGGAGGATGACATGGACTTTTGGTACAATGTTTTCATCAAGACTGATGACTTGCCAGAATTACCAGAATTTTGAGGGGTCTATATGTCAATTTTGGTTCTTCTGTAAATTTTGAGGTAGTGGTATCTAGCTAAAAGGTTTTAGGAATTTTTGGAGTCGTTAAGTTTGAAACTTCGTGTTTGTAATTTTCTTGACCAGAAAATATTCCCGTGTTTGGACCATTTAGCTAGTACTAGTATTAATACCCGCATGATGTGCGGATTATGATCCTTCTAAATTCTATAAATTAAAAAGAACAAATTATATGAATAACTATTGACATAAACTTAAATATCATAACCTAATATATAGCCGGTGATACAAATAAATAAAAATACAATATGATTCAAAAATAAATACTCATTCCCTTTCAATTTAAGACTGTTCCAAAAGAATGACATATTTCTGTATTTGGAAATAATTTAACTTTAAATTTTTTATTTTACTCATTTTACATATAATGATAAGTTCTTACACCCATGCAAATATCATGGCCCACAAAACTATTAGGATCATAAGTTTCAAAAGTTTTCTTTTTCGTTCTTAAATTTCGTGTCAAGTCAAACTATCTCATCCATATTAAAACTGAGTAAAGTCATACTATATAAAGTAATAACAAATAAAAATACATTTAGTAATATCTTAATTTAAATTATTAAAATATATTATATTATTATCTCAACATAATAAATTCTCACATCAACATCAACTTCTACCAACCTAAAATTACACGGTGACAAATTAATATATACATACATAATAATTTATTAACAATCAATATATTCTAACTTTTGGGAGTTACTAACTTATAAAACATTTGGATCATAATTTGCTCAATAATTTTGCTAGTTAACTTAAATTCTAACCACACAATTAAAGTCACATTGTTTTTAACAATTTAAATATTACCTTTGGGATATATTTAAGATTAATATATTATAATTGAATAAATGTTAACCTACTTTAAATATTTTTCTTCCACGACGCACATGTACTAAAAGAAGATGAGTTCTTACATGTAATTCTTAATTAAATGAATCTTACCTTATGATTTTACGATCTACTTTATTTTGTGCAAATAGCAATCCCAAATAGTATAATTATATTCATCTATGTGTTTACCCTATCCAAATCTATTTCATTCTAATTGACACACACACACACACACGTAATATATATATATTCGACCCCATCGGTTGCTCGATCAATTGGCTTATACAATTTGAGAGAACATAAATATCAACAACGCGATAAAAAGTCATTGTCCATACCTGAGCCATTAGAGAAGAATCAATCCTCCCTTATTATATATTTTAGCAAAGCAACTGCTAGCACTAATAGGAAAAAAAAAAAAGATGTATGTATTGCTTCCAAACAATTGAGATATAAAATAAATTATAAAATATTGGATAATTAATTTTATCGAGAGGCAACACAATTGACATTTGTTTAGCCAATGTCTGAGTCGATTCATAGTTAAACATTATCCCTAAGGTAGTTACGAAAGTTAAGTTTTGATCCAACAACTCGGTAATTATGATTATGGGTTCGAGCCTAGATTTTTTAGTCTTATTTCTAGTAACAAACATGTTTTTGTTTTTTTTTGTTATTTTTGTTGTGAACTCAAATTTCAAAATACTCTTTTTCATTATTTAGAACAATTCGCCTCACCCGTTGAGCCTCCTGTTTGAATTGGAGCATTTATGTGTTGATTAGCTTTCCTAATTAATTAATCAATCAATTCAAATTTAACTTTCTTTCCATTCAGATTCAAAAGAATCTTATTTACTATCTTTCTATTTAAATTTAAATAAATATCCTGTCTTTCAATTGAAATTAAATACTATAACAAATATTGTCATAATTTGCCAAGTGGCTTTATATTAGCTTGCCACTTGGCTTAACCATAATGCACACTTGTTGTATTGCCATGTGATTTTTTATTAGCTTATCGTGTTACTTAATGTCCTTACTCATTGCTCTACTTTTAGTATAATATAATGAATATAGTTTTGTATTACCCTAAAATTTAATTTAACATTGTTCTTTTGTTCCGTAGCTCCAATTATTTTGTTTAAATTTATCAATAATATTATTTTTCCTATTTAATTATTTTATTAAACAAATTTAAAGTGTAGACCCCTTCAGATAACTTCTATTCTCCTCTATATACATTATTTTCTATCATATAATATTTTAATTATTTTTCATATTTCGTGTTGTATATATAATATAAACATTATCGTATTATTTTTTTAATTCTTAAAAATATGCCAAAGTTTAAACGAAGAATTTCTTTTATTATTTTTCATAAATCTACACGTTTAGTAATTATTATTTAGTATTATATGCAATAAGCAATTAATTTTTTGTTTTGTTTTCAAATAGAGTTTTGACTTTAATTTTTTTATAACTTAACTACATGGCAATTTTAATTACATCTTTATATTGTTAATTTGTTGTTTGGTGTTATTTCATTGTAAATGTTTTAAATTTTAGGTTTATAAATTATGTTTTCAATTGCGTGATATTATTCATATAATATATTTTTTCTCGTAATAATTTATGTCACACCTCCTTTTTCCGCACCAGTGAGGGTACAAGGGAGTTTTTCCAATTAAAGGACAATCGGAACGGGATTGATTTATTTATTTCAGAGTCGCCACTTGGGAGATTTAGGGTGTCCCAAGTCACC